CATCCATCCATCCATCCATCCATCCATCCATCCATCCATCCATCCATCCATCCATCCATCCATCCATCCATCCATCCATCCATCCATCCATCCATCCATCCATCCATCCATCCATCCATCCATCCATCCATCCATCCATCCATCCATCCATCCATCCATCCCCTAAATGAACACAACAAAGAATATTTCATTTTCATTCACTGGCACCTGATACTTACATAAACACTACATTTTTTGAAGTCATAACATTTAAAGCAGCCAGTTGGAATTAAAATTATTATTCAAACTTTGCTACTGAAATTTAAATCAGACAAGCTAGATCATGAGACAAGAAAAAAATGTAAAGGTACATTAGTAAAAAAAAAATAATAATCATAATCCTGAATATATGCTCTTATCAGCAGAAATATCATTGCAAGTACAATTATTTTTAGTAATTTTCTATGGAAATTCAGAAGCTGAAATCTGAGCATTTAATTTAACTTTTTTTTTTGTTCCATCCTGAATCCAGTCTGTTTTACAGGTGTGTGATTTATGTTTTTTAATAAATTATGCATATTCCAAAATATTATAGACGTGGCCAAAAAAATTCACATGATGTGCTGTCCTTGCCTTGATCTGTTCACATTCTGTTGTTTTCTTCCCTACTGTAGTTTCTCCTGCTAGAAAATGTGTTATTGACATAAATGTTATGTTCAGAGACAATCAACCCCATCACTGGCAGATTTAATACCACATATTTGGTGGTGCCTGTTTATTACCTGGTTTCCTCCTGGCCTGTTATTCTGGTCTTCCTGTATAAAGTCCACAATATAAATGGTCCATTTGTTCCATGTGGCAAATGTGAAACATAAAACATCTAGATCTCCCTTAACAACACTTCAGCAAACCACATGCAGAACACCATGCTTTTGAATAAATTATGCCTTTGCCATTCTTAAACCAGTTTTCTTGAAAAAAAATCTGTCTATGTGAAACCATATCTTTATCAGTACGTCTGGTAATCATGAATTAGAGAAAACAAAAACCTGATCAGATGTTTAAAACACTGGTTTTCTGTGAGCAGAATGTTTATTGGCTAATAATTTGCCCTTCCAGAGCAGCTGGTATTCAGTGAGACTAGTAGATTTTGCCAGGAGTTGCTATGCAGCGGCAGAGTGAGCCCTGGAATTATTCTCTTCACACAGGAACTACTGGATGCATCCAGGCTTTTTTCATGTCTTATCTGACCTTTAGTCTGTGGTCTTCTCCTCTGTCCTGTTACGCAGGTAACTGATCATATCCCCGGCTGCCAGGTTACAGCTGTTGCCAAGACACAAATTGAGCTAGACCGAGATAAGTGGTTTTCCCCCACTATTACTCGAAAGCAAAGATAATGCAAAACAGAAAAAAGAGATTTATAAAGAACTTCATTGTTCTAAGTAGTTGGCTGGGTTAACTGCTATTTTATTAGCAGGCAGGATCATATAAGTAAATGTATCATAGGCAACAACTAAATATTAAATGAATGTGGCTCTTTGATAATGTAAGTAAGTGTTTAGAGTGCAGAAGTTAACCATAAATGTGGTAGCAAAGTATGAGTTGTAGTATATACAGTACCTCTGTTATCTAACAAGATAACTCTTGTATTTAGATATCTCACAACAACAACAACAATATTAAAACTTTAAGGAATATTTAACAGTAAACCTTATGTACCTTGTTTTATTTGCCAGAAAATAAAATAAATAGTTAAATGTGCTTTTGACTACATTTTAAATGGTTCATTAACTTGTTAGTGTACCATCATTTTTGTTAATAAATTAATATTAAGTCATTAATAAATATAAATAAAAATAAAAATGGCGGAAACAGTATTTGGGGAAGAAAACAAATTCGTAGGGCCTTAAATATTTGATAATATTTCATAAACACAATTCTCGGTGTAATTAGTTATGGGTTTAGTGTGTCTTAGACTCATATAGTTGACAGATATCTGTCTCTGAGGCAAGTGTTTTCAATTGTGTAGGTAATGTAAATGCGTTTAATAAAATAAAACAAATAAATAAAATATCTAGAAAACCCTGAACATGAATAAAACACTCCAGGGGTGGGGAGAAAAAAAAGTTGTGGATATTTTTTAATAGTTTAATTGAACTATAATTTAATTTAAATATAAATATAAAATGTAATCTAAATTTAAACATAATATAATTTAATTAAATGTTTCATTTATTACCATTTTTGGACTCCACACTGTTTTATACTTTTATTTTATTATTTATTTATAAATGACCTTATTAAAAATACTGCCGCTAAATAATAATAATGATAATAATAACAAATAAATACATACACATACACACACATGCATACATGACAAGTACAGTTTTAATTTCTGTGTAGATGTATTTCCTGTTGAGACAGGAACAGGAACGTCACATATCAAAGTACTTATCCCTTTTTTAAATGGTTAGTAGTTCAGCTGTGAACAACTATTTGCTACTTTATATTGGTTGTTGTTGGCAGCCAGTATTAGGGGAGGGGCATTCTCATTCTAGAGGGGGCATTTATTTGGACGAAATTTGTATAATCCTTTGAGTGCAAGATGACAACTCTATTGTACATTTTAAATACGTACAACTGCTAAATAAAGGTTTTCAACGTTTGAGTACGCTAGTGGATTTAAAAAAAAAGTCTGATTTTGATTTAATTGGCTCTTTAATTTCTGACATCAGAGCTGGTAAGTCTGAAAGCTGATGAGTAACCCTGCCCTAAACTGCAGGTAAGATAAAGATTAGGCGTATCAAATTGCACAGCAGCAATCTGAGGTACTTGAGGCAGACAGACATCCTGGCAACCTTATCAGTCCAAGATCTGCCATTAGCTTTCACCTCTTAATCTTCATTTACATTAAAGGGGTCATATGATGTTGCTAAAAAGAACATTATTTGGTGTATTGAAATGTGTTTATCCGGTTTAAAGTAAAAAAAAACAACATTATTTTCCACATAGGCTGGACTCCGCTTCGTCCACGGTGAAAGCCGATCCGGCGATCCACAGCACTAAGTTGTTGTATTTCCTCAGCGACCAGCATAGATCAGCTCCAGGCATGAAGAAGAGGATATCGTCCTCTTTTAGAAGACCAAACAAAGTAGTTTCGCTTTCACAACAAAGCACACAACGTCTTCACGACATGGTGGTGGCGGCAACAACAATACTACAGCGAGAATAAAAGTTATGCCGCCTTTCTTTGCGTGAACATTTGGGCGGCGTTATGCAAATCTTCCCATATCGTTACGTAGACATCTGGGGGCGTGTTAGAACGAGCCGTTTTAGGTAGGCGTGGTTAACTCTTAACTTTTATAAATAACATCTCTTTGGATTTGAGACTTTAGTCTTTGCAACTTTACAGATCTTCTTTATGCACCAAGAGCTTGTAACACTCCAAAGAGAAAGGAAAATTTTAAATCGCATCATATGACCCCTTTAAACTTTTTTTTAGTCATGCACACAAATGACACGTGTTTATGCTATCAACAAACCACAATGAGCTATACTATCTACCCCTTTTTTAGGACTTCTTTCTTTGCCTATGTTTGTGTTTTGTCTACAAATGGCGATGCTGGGAGCTTTGTTTCTTTACGCCGGGTGAGCTGGGAGTGAAAATGTGGGCTGTTATTGGAGCAGCTTTATGCTGAGCACTACACTTTGCCATTGCCCATTTGTTTGAACGTTGCATAGGGGGTTTATGGGCTCAGTAAAGCCTCATATGAAGGCCCTGAATGCAACTGGCACCTGGATTAGTGACCAGATAAGGGAAAAATTGCCACCCCTAGCAGTTTTACTGTTTAGCTGTTAACTGTGAAATCACGATTCAGTGATGGGTTTGCTTAAAGTAAACATTTACATAAAGTTTATTTATGCCATCCACTTTGTTTAGTGAGAAAGTAGCTAAATTTTGATGACTGACTCCATAAACATCTTGGGAGTATCTATGGGTCATCAGCTGGTACAAGGGTCTTCCGTTACATAATTCCCAGTGGAGTATCTTGTGTCCGTAGTGTCCTGAACAGAACTGAACATGCCGGTCCAGTCAAGTGCTGCTCTGCAAATACTTCAGAATTTATTTGCATTATTTTAGTTTAGAAGTGCAAGAAGCTGATGATGAGGTTTCATATGAACAGACATCAGCATTAATGCACTGTAGAAGGACAGTGCACATAATTGTGGGATAGATGGGTCTATGACCAAGAAGGGACTTGAGTCTTAAAAAGCTGAGAAGGGCTTTAAAAACTCAATTGAAAAATAATGTGCTAAATTCTTAGAAACATCATGCTTTAATTAATGTTGTTTTTGCATTTTTTTTTATGTGGTGTAACCAAGAATAAGCTTATGACATGAATAATTAAGCTTGCAATTTATGCCAGACAAATGTTTTTCACATAACACCATCAAATCTTCTTTACTGTTTGTTTTCAGAAACAAATTGGCAATAATAAAAGATTATGCCTAAAGTCCTTATTGTTATTCTTTAATTTTTTTATATTTTATATTTTCATTCAATATTTATTTAAAGTTTTTATTTTTAGTTGTTTGTTTTTGTGTGTAATTGTAAATATATTTTTTTTACATACCGTTTTTAAGTTTATTTTAGTACCTCGGCTTAAAATAACAAATGAGAAATGTTTCTGAATTAAAATGTTTATTTGTTATTACTTTATTTCATATAATTTGTATTTATTTATTTATTTATTTATGAATGCATGGTTTTAGTTAACAATAATAATCCTGCTCCGCACAGAAATATCTAAATTAATTTGAATTCAAAAATTGAAAACGTTTTTCATCGAAGAGTTGTATTCAAGCCATTGTCAGTATGAATTACATTTTTAATGTATTTTGTATGAATTAATAAACACACACACACACATTAACCCATTGACCTAGATACATATCTTAGTCAATGCCTACAGAACTTTGTGATTGTGATATGTGATTGTCTTGCTTTCTCTGTAGGGGGTGTTGTCCAAAATGGAGGTGAAGACATCACTTCTCGACAATATGATAGGGGTGGGCGATATGGTCCTCATTGAGCCCCTATCAGAAGACACCTTCATTGAGAATCTAAAGAAGCGATTCGATCACAACGAAATCTATGTAAGTAATGCTTATACTTATGCTGAAAACATCATGCAACAGTTGCTGTTTCCTTTTCTTGGTCGTCGTCTTATTTTAGGCTTTCACTACTCCAGACAGTCACATCACATCAAGAGTATCTAAGTTTAGTTTGAGTGTGTTCCCACTAAATGATAAATGGGAGTGTAGAGAGGAGCACAGTGTAAATCATAGCACTCTCATTGTTCTGTCCCTGTTCTCATGTCTTTCCCATTCATTTTGGGCTGGGTTTTGAAAGCTGTCGCATACCAAACCAGCCTATGAAATGGGTCCATTTGATGTGTAAATAGTTGTTTAATGAATCAGAATATGCAAAAGTGAATGGATATCAAGGAGAATTGAAGATTTTCTACCTTTCTTGGAGCATGAACGAGCACAGTTGCACTATTAAAACATTGTTTTGTTTGTCAAAATCAAAGCAAAATCGCCTCAATTCAATTGGCTATCTGTTGTTCAACCAATAGCAGACATGGTGAGTGTTCAGGAAACCTGTGTGAAAACAGTCAGTTATGTTTGCAACACAATTTAATGACACTACTGCTGCAGAAATTACTTCACACTTAAGATACAGTCACCTAATCTAGAATGTCGAGTGAGGGCGAAAGCTTTCACCACGCATATTTCACAAGTTAGTCACACAAATTCGCTGTGATGACCAACAGAAAGCTGCTTAGTTAGAAAGTGACTTGTGTGTGATCTGTGCTTCATACATGGCTACACTCTTGACAATATAACTGACTTTTTATTACTTTAGTACTTAAAAATAGGCTTCATTTTCATTAAACAAAGTTTTTTTTTCCCCTGCTGAAATTGAAAGAAAACTCTAGCATGTTCAGATTTACGATTTGCATTCAGTATCAGGAAATATCAAGGTTTAATGACCCATTCTAATGGCTGATTTACATTTTGTGTGGCACCATTAAAATGGACCCTTAAAAATGTTTATTTATATTGTGCAGAGCTATAATCTGACCAGTAATAAAAGTCTAAAATCATATAGTTTGTCACAAACAGGTTGTAAGTGTGTTTAGTGTGTAATTAAGAGTTTAACTACCCACATCCCTCAATGTCCAGTAGCTGCAAGTTTGTAATTCAAACTCTAGCCTTGAATTTAATGCGAATCCCCAAATTGAACAGAACGATGTTGACAAGAGCAACATTATGTTGACCACAGTATATTTATATGTTCATTGCACTTTGTGCAAACTGGTCACTTATTTTTCTTGTTAGTAAGAAAAATAAGTGTACCAACCATAAATTATATCATTATTTATTCACTCACATTTTTTTCTGCCAAAAGCAGACCTGTCCTTATTATGACAGTTCACGGAGCTCCTAAAAGGACAAAACGGCAACTGGGTGAAGATTCATCAGAACCTCTCCTTTTGTGTTCAACATAACAAAATAAGTTTGGAATGACATGAAAGTGGGGAAATACTACTGAACTATTCCTATAACTATTTATACTTAAAGCTTCTATTTAAAAGCGGTTCATGGAGAATATTCTAGGAACGTCTCCACCCTCAGTATCATCTATTTAAATGCCAAGACGCTTACATCACAGTCCATCATATCAAACTTTACAATGAATATCACAGAGAATGATCTGCTTATCTCATCAATGCTCTGTCAAAAACAGTTACAATGGGTTCCATTTTCAGAAGAGCTGTAGAATTATGAAACAAAGGTCCTTGTATTTATTGCTATCTTTAAACTTTGCTCATTATTATTGACTGCACGAAAGAACAAATGTGTTTGTGTGTGTATTTGCACATTTAGTAGTAAGGAACAGATGTGATTGTGTAGCTTACTCTTTTAGTGATGCTCTTTATTGATCCACGGTTGCCTGTTCTTCCAAAATGTAGGTCCACCAGCTCTCATTTAGATGCATTTAAGGGCCAATTGAATTATTTACACAGACCTAGTCCTGCTCTAATGCACCCATAGTCATCACATCTCTAGTGCCCAGATGTCATCATTGTGAACAGTATTTAAGTCCATCTGGGAATGGGAGGATTCCATATTCTTCATTGAATGAACAAATACCAGATCTCTTCTGTTTGTGTGAAAGAAGAATCAAGCCATTGGTTCAAAAACTTTTAAGATAAATTCAGTTGTTGACTTCTAGCAAATGTCCTGTGTGATGCCTGCGCTTTTATTGGTATTTTTTTCTCAAATTTTCATTTCATCTGTCCAATTACATTTGTTTTCTACTTCTAAGGGATTCGTTATGCCTCTTGTGAACACTTGACAATAGGTTGTGGGCTGTGTTGCCATGGGTGAGGCCAGATTCTCCGGCAACAAGCCTTATGCAACACGCACCGTAAGGAAAGGTAGAAGGCGACTGCAAGAATTAGTCATTGTTCTGAAGTCCCTGAGACATTGAGATAGATTAGCTTTTAATGTCATAGGTTGAAAATTGGTGGCAGAAAGATTTGAAAAGTAAGAGAAGCTGGAATAAATTATTCGGTGTGTTTAAGTCGTCTGAAACTGACTACTTTAGACACTGTTGCTCTCGCTGGCCACTTTTGACCACCCTATGTTGTTGATGCTTCCTGGGATTCTGAACATTTTTGTTTGTGCTCTCTTGTTCGGTTCCTTGCGGGCCCCCCGCCTGTCTGAACAATACCCAGGAATTCCCATCTGGATTGTGCAGAGGGAGGCATATTGTAGCTCTACTCCCCTATACTGCTGCCACCTTATTCCTACAACAGAATGAGGCAGAGAATGTGCTTGATGTCTGTACCTCGCAGCAGGGGATCATGAACTAGATTTGACCAGTATGAATACAGTGCAGTGTCCTTTAGGGATGTCTCGATACCAGTACAAGTGAAATTTCACAATTATCATCATTTTCATGATAGGAACACGCCATTCTTTTCATAGTGACTGACTTGGTGATGCATATACAGTCTGCCATGTCAACACTTGGGTACCAGATTTTGCTTGTATGCTCAGTATCACCTCTACTGTAGACCAGTTGTTCCCAACCCTGGTCCTGTAGAACCACCAACACTGCACATTTTTGATGTCTCTCTTATTTGACACACAGATTTGAGGTCTTGGAGTCTTTACTAATGAGCTGATGAGTTGAATCAGGTGTGTTTGATTAGGGACATCTAAAAGGTGCAGTGTTGGGTTTCTCCAGGACCAGGATTGGGAACCACTGCTGTAGACCGAATATATGACTGGTTATATAGGCCTATCTCATTTCATGTGTTTTCTTGTGTGTTGATCGGTGGTTCATTGCTTCTTTCGCTCTCCTCCACAGACATACATTGGCAGTGTGGTGATCTCAATGAACCCCTACAAGTCCCTGCCCATCTACACAGCAGAAAAGGTGGAGGAGTATCGCAACAGGAACTTCTATGAGCTCAGTCCACACATGTGAGTTTAAAAAGCTTATCTGAAAGCACTATACAAAAAAAGTCACTGTCTAGTTTATTCCTAGACTTCCTGTTCGGCTGTGCACAAAGTTGTAAAAAAAGTTGCAGACATGTATGTACAGGGTTAAAAAAGGCATGCAGCTTTTTTTTTTTTTTAAATCAATACTAATTTTGAAGGTCCCCCAGTGGTGTCATGTTTGCAGAGAAGGTGTGCATAAACACAGTATGCTCTATCTACTCGACCTCTGAGACGTGATGTCCAGCCCTCTCGGGGGAGGGGGTAGCTCACTGTCCTGTCCTGCTCCAACTAATGACCATCTGTCTCTCTAGAGGGCTGCCAGCCGCCTGACCGGACTGCCAAATCAAAACAAAGCAGTCTGCTTTGTTTGATCGGCAGACGCACACTTACCCTCTGAAAAACACCATGGCCTGATCTAACTCTCAAAACCCAGCTCTAATGAAAGAGCCATTGAGAATGGGATGACTGTAGCAATACACTTTTAACTCGTTCTATACTCTCTCCCTTGGAAAACGAGAAGTTCAAATAAACAGCTGTGTACAGCTGTATTTTTTTCCCCTAAGTTTTTTTTTTTTGGTATCTTTTTGATTCTTTCGCCTACAGGTTCATAGTTTGTTCTCATGTTTCTAAATTGATCTCTTCTTTGCTTCTGGGCCTATCCTGTTCATTTGATTTGCTTTAAGTGAATATTTGCTCTGGTATGCAAGCACTCCTTCAGTCTTGGACCCTTCCATGTTCATATGTTTTAGTCTAAGCACTGTTACAGTGATGTCAGGGTCGATGCTCCTCTGATCTGAAGCCAGGCTCGGAGCTCATTCCAAGGCAGCTGCTTTTCCTGTCATGCCTGAGAAGCAGATCTCTTAGATGGCTCTGGGTTTACTGGCCTCCCGGGCTCGTACATTTCGGCGTCCTGGGACAATGGGCCGTAACCGGTTCTGTTAACAGCACAAACTGCTGAATAGTATTTATAATCATCACCTACATCAGGGGAAGTAGCGAAATGGCCCAGAGCATCTGTGCTCAAACTGCTGTCAAGCTTTTGGGTACGTTTTAGCCAAGTCTGTGCTTGTTTTATCATTTTCAGAAATATTGGAAGAGCCTATACTCATAAAACCCGGCTTGTGGCTTAAAGGTATAAAAGTAATACTTGAAGGAAGCTATGCGTTAGCATTCTCATCGATCTCAATTACAGTCTCTCAGCTGGCGCAGGACTTCCAATGCAATTTGAAATCAGCCATCTTTGCTCATGAGTGCTCAATTTTGCATTTGGATGAACGTCATACAAGCATATTTCAGAACATCACAATGTTTAAAAATGAGTTGAAGCACGTACACATAATTGCATAGTCCAGGGGTGTCCAATCCTGCTCCTGGAGGGCAACTGTCCTGCACAGTTTTGCTCTAATCCTAATTAAATACACCAGATGCAACTAATCAAAGTCTTCCGGAATACTAGGCTGTGTATGCCCCTTATACATTTACATAATGCACTATTTGAGGTGACGGCCATTTGCCGTTGTCCGATACCATAGTGGACATTATTAAATGCACTCATTAAATCCCATAATGCACGTCAATAGTATAACCGATGTACACTCAACGGCTAGCCACTAGAATATCCAAATACCGTGAGCGCTGCGCCAAATTAATTTCCACATCTAGCTAGAAGATGGTGTTTCACAGCACTTCTGGTGGGCTCGAGGTGTGAAATTGCTCACTGGTTTTCATTCACTCCTTCATTGCACTATATTGTAGTAATGTAGGAAATAGTAAATGAGGGTAAAAAGGCACTTTGATATACAGATCTAGAAACTTACAGGCAAGTATGTTGGCAAGTTGGAACTAAACTTAATAGGCCATTAGCCCTCCAGAAGCAGGACTAGACACTCTTGCGTAGTATATGTTTAGGCCTAAGACTTTTTCTCATCTTTGATGAGAGGCTCTGATTTAAGGTCTCTTTTAATTAGGTCCTCCTTAAAGACTGTGAGGTTCTTTTTTTAAGTGAGGTCTTTGTAAAAGACTCCATAATTTGATCTTAATCTCCAAGTCAGACCATCTGCTTAGGCTTTTGTGTGGTAGATCTTTTGTAAAATGAGACGTTGACAGGGTTTGGAAGTTGTCCTTCCCTAATCATCTTTTCCTATCCATGGCGAGGTCATGCAACCCTTATCGATTTTAACACATGCTCGTGAACTTTGGGGTTTATATTGGCAGTTTTGAGTGTGCTTGCTCTACAATGAGACTGCATATGATACGATTGTACCTCACATCCACTGGGTTATGTAAATTCTTCATCCAAACCTGCAGAAACAAGCCAATTACACTACAAGCTCAAAGTAATCGCTGGTTGTCATAGAGTTCAAAGGGGTGAAAAGGGATGGTCTTTTCCAAGGGCAAGTTCAGATTTGGCACCTTGAAGGGTCATTCTGTTAACTCGGGCACCAAAGATCTGATATTCAAATTGAAGTGTGTACTTTCTCTTCCACTAGTGTCACCAAGCTTGAACAATACTTGTAAAAACAAGTCCATTCAAAATTCCATTGGTTGGGCCAATGTCATGTCCGCTTAAACAAACTACAAATCTGTTAGGTGGTTTAATTCAGTTTCTGGTGGTCCAAGCTTACAAATTCATAAAAACTGATATGATGTCAGTCTGGTTGGCATTTGTATGGCGTTAGCATAGGTGCTTTAAGTAGAGCAGTAATTATAAATAGCTGCAAAGTTAGCTTATTCTGCTAAGCACCCATCCACATGTCTGACTTAAGATTTTCAAGCTATCCATAAATTATACATCACCTCGACAGAGCCATGCAGTGACTCCCCTGCATTAAGACTACATTATTATTGCTGTTTTTGACTCGTGTAATACTACAGTGTGTTTTTGGTTTCTATTAAAGACAGGACGAGTCTAGAGTGTGCAGATGTTGAGAGCTTTTATGCCCACCTGCTTTTAACAGACCTGTGTCCAATTGCAATAAACCTCTAAAAATAAAGTTAACCAATCAATTGTAGAGGTGTTATAATTGAGTTTTCTTAACATTAGGGGTTTGTTGCAACTGGCAGATGAGCTTCAGAGGTGGTCAAAGCCATGGAGACAATAAAGTGGCTGAGACCACCATGATCACAAATCACCGCAAATGGTGGTGTGTATGAAGACGCTCACTGGAGGTGACAAACATTTGCTGTTTGCCTCTATATCCTAACGAGAGCTGTGCTCTCTCAAGAGGTTTAATTATCAGGACAATCTGACGGCTCAGAGAAAAGAAAGGAGCTGAACTTAGAATGGCAAGATATTAGTTTGTGAAATCCAACTTTATGGAGTTTTTGTTAATTCACTTCATATTTGGGTTGGGTTATGATTTTTCCATATTGTGAATTCTAAATTTGTGAGGATTTTGTTGGTTACAAAATTTAAACAACTTTGTGAATACAACATTAATATAGGAATTCACTTAAACTATTTCTGTCATCCTTCCTTGTTTTCTGCCTTGCAAGTATAAGAATATTAACTTATTGCACTTTATAATACGATTCATTTGTCGTCACTCAAATTCGATTCCCTTGACTCATCTGTCGTCACTCAAAAATGTTCACAGAAATGTCAGTGTAGCGCTTTTTTTTTTAGGGATGCGCCGATCCGATATTCATATCGGGTATCGGCTCCGATAGTGCCATTTTTCTCGGATCGGGTATCAGTCAGAGAGGGCCGATTCAAATCCGAGATTTTTTTTTTTTTTTCGATTGTGCGAATTATTCTGTGTTACTTCTTCTGAAGCCATACAATAGCTTAATGTGAGCTACATATGAATATTTAAGTCCTTACATTAAAGTTCACACAAACTCTTTTCTCCGCTGTGGCTGTCAGTCATTCGTTCAGCCTTTAAACCCTGGTCACGTTCGGTTACAGCAGTCAACTCGGTAAAGCTCTCTCCAAGATCATTCTGTGTTCCCGTTATACTTGATTTGTAAATACATGTCTATGATTTTGCAAAAATTACTTTATCTTCTTGCCGGAGTTTAATGTTGTTTTGTTACTTGCTACCGGGTGTCTGTGAGAACAAAACACGGGCGTAGAAAAGACTATAAATAGTTTTTAACGTGCACAGTAACTGAAATTTAAAACTGTTAAAAGAAAGGCTCAATAACTGTTGCACAGATATAATACACTACGCATCAATTTCTCTTCCCTTTGTGCTTTGCAGTTTTTAACACGAAGCGCTTGCAATGTGCGCATCATTCTGCACACCGGATGTGCACATTGTAAGCGCTTCGTGCTCTAAGACTGCATAAAAACAGTTCGTGCTGCAATGTATTTGTTTTGTCCTATTGTATCTATCATATGTTGTTGCCTTATTAAAAAATATGCTATACATTCAAAAGAAATGTATTTTAATTTTATAGTATATACTTAAACATATATATGAATGTTTTTAATGAATGGATTTTATAATAATACAAATAGCAATTTGTAACATTTTACCATATTTAGTGCAACACTTTTATTTGTTCCCCACAAAACATATTTTTTTCACTAAATGTTTGGATTTCTAAAATTGATTGTGCACTGATTTTTCTAGAATAACTTTTGCTGCCGAATTATCCACTAACCTAGTTTGATTAATTTTTGTCATAGATTATAAATATACATAGGCCTATATTTTTTCATATTGTTTATTTTATTTTTCTTTATAATGAAGTAGTCTGTATCTAGTAGATTGT